CCTGGCAGCAGTTTATTACACAGAAAGCCTCCACTACACAGCGTGCTGAGTTGTCGGCAGCTGTTGCTGCCTTTGAAATTTTTAAATCAATGCCTTTCAATTTAATCGCTGATTCTGCTTACATTGTTCACACTATTCAACATATTAGCGATGCAACTCTTCGGTTTAGTTCTGATTATGAGTTATTCACTTTATTTAAAAGGCTTCAAACCCTGCTTAATAGCCATAGCTCTCCCTTTTTTGTGGTACATGTGCGCTCCCATACACCCTTGCCGGGGCCTCTTTCTGATGGCAATTCTCATTCCGATTTACTTGCAGGCTCTGCCTTTTCTGATTCCCGAACTTCTCATGATTTCTTTCATCAAAATGCACGGGGACTTCAATAACAATTTTCTATCTCTCTTACTGAAGAACAACAAATTGTTCGCACCTGTCCTGACTGCCAACGCTTTTCTCCCAAGTCCTTTGCTGCTGGCATCAACCCACGTGGTCTAGTAGCCAATCAATTATGGCAAATGGATGTAACACACTATCCTCCCTTTGGGAAACTTAAATATCTTCATGTGTCCACAGATACATGTTCTGGGTTTCTTTATGCTACAGCCCTTTCTGGAGAACGTTCTACTCATGCCTGTTGGCACTTCACCCAAGCCATTGCAACCATGGGATGTCCCCAAGCCCTTAAAACTGTTGATAGTCCTGCATATACTTCTGCTAGATTTCAACAATTTTGTGCCACTTGGAATATTCTTCATACCACTGGCATTCCTTATAACCCTCAAGGCCAAGCCATAATTGAGCGTGCCCATCATACTCTCAAACAGCTTTTAAATAAACAAAAGGGGGGAGATGATGGGTCCAGACTACATGACCAGAATGAAAGACTTGCCAAAGCTCTCTTTACTTTTAACTTTTTTCAGTTGCTAAAGGAGGCCGCACTGCTGCAGAACGACATTTTATCCCCCCTGACACCTGACCTCGCCCACAGGTCCTCTATAAAGATCCTCAAAATCCCTCTGTCTGGCAAGGGCCTGTAGAATTATTAACCTGGGGGTGAGGGTATGTGGCTGTTTTGTCTCCTACAGGTCCACTTTGGATTCCCGCTTGACTAGTAAAACCATATCATGACCCAGTGACAGCCACCACCCTTCCGCTGGCCAACCGACATAATCCCAGAGCGACAACTGATGCTGTCATCCCCTCCTCCGGGGAAGGAGAATGAACAACAGAGCTCTGCTATACTGGTAACATGGGGAGGTCTAAAAGCCCTCTCCTCCAAAGCTGAGTATATCCTCTCAGCTACCGGTGCCCCACTTACACCTGAAAACCTGTTTCTAGCTATGGTTTCTCTCATGACTTTTAATTCTCAACAGTCGTCTGATGTTTCTACTCCCTGAAGATCTCCCATCACCAACAGAAGTCGGCCTTCTACACCTGGACCATTCACTATCGGTTACCTAAAACAGAGATGGATAAAATAAAAGAACCTCCTCTTAAGAAGGCCCTTTCTATGTTATTACTTTGCTAATCAGTAATTACCTGTATGTTACTATCTTGTTAATCAGTAATTATCTGATGAAAATTTGTTATGTGTAAATTCCTCTATATTTTCTGCCTCTTCTAGATTAGATGCCTCTGTATAGATAGGTTTCCAATTTAGATGATCCCCTTCCAATTAATAGTGAATTTGTGTAAATGTTGGTTTGATTGTTAAGAATCTTTGTGCCTTTAAGAATAATAATCTAGTGAATATTGAGTGATAGTGTTAAACTTGCAAGGGAATGATCGGAAGAAAACCCATTGGTCCAACAATTGGGATATGTTCAGTACCAAGGTTTAAAGTATCTCGTTTGTGCTGACCATGTTCTGATTGCTTATCCTCTATTGTCCTATACACCTAAAGGCCCTGGGCTGAAATTTTTATTGATGTACAGTGAGTCCGCTCCAGCACTGTGATTGATGAGCGTATCACTCTTACTTAGTAACCTGGTGAAGAACCAGATGGTATCCGGTGGAAAATCAGCACCGTGAGTTTAAAGAGCCTGCCATGGCCACCATCTAGGAGCCCAGCCAAGTCCGGGTATTACTCATTGCTATGCTACTTTTCCTCCTTAAACATATGGAGTGTTCCCCAGCTGAAGCTGGGCACACAAGGACTCACAAAAATTCTCCATACATCAGCCAGGCCCTGAGGTGTAGAAACAACAGCCTAAACGTTCTTGACAAGAAAATTTTACTTTATCCTAACGGACATTTGTTGGACCAGTGAAAACCCTCTTGGTTCTTATTCCATTAATTAAACAAAAGGGGGGAAATGTGGGGATATGTGCCATTTAAACATGGCTGTACTATGGTTAACTTCAGCCTCTCAAACGCCCAAGCGCAGAACATGGTGAAATGTGTCAGCGATGATGACTTGTTTTTCCAAAACCCACTGTTCCTTTACTAATTGACTTGTTTGCTTGAAACCCATTCTTTCTTGCCCGAAACTTCTTGTTATTCACCTAAAGCCCATTGTTCTGTGATTTGCTTCACTGCTTGCTGTATTGACTATAAATAAACTCCTGGAACTGAAGTGGGGGTCGACTCCTCAGAGTGACCCTCCTTGGCCCCACTTCTCTGTAAGAGTTGTGTTTGACTACTGTCTTCACCGATCCGACAATCGTCGCCACTCCGACACTGAAACACACTGAAGTTTGAGAATGACTATATTACAATGATTAAGCTATATATACCGAAATAATATATAACTATTATAGTTTATGATTAGGTAAACTGCAATCCTCCCAGTTGCCTTAAAACTTACTGTCAAGGTTGTTGTTGTTTGTTAGGTGTCGATCAAGTTGGTTCTGACTCATAGCGACCCTATGTACAACAGAACAAAACACTGCCTGGTCTTGTGCCATCCTCACAATCATGGTTATCTTGAGCCCATTCTGGCAGTTGCTCTGTCAATCCATCTTGTTCAGGGTCTTCCTCTTTTTCACTGACCCTCTACTCTACCAAGCGTGATATCCTTCTTCAGGCAGTGGTCCCTGCTGATAACATGTCCAAAGTATGTGAGACGAAGTCTTGCCATCCTTGCTTCTAATGAGCACTCTGGCTGTACTTCTTCCAAGACAGATTTGTTCGTTCTTCTGGAAGTCCATGGTATAGTCAATATTCTTTGCCAACACCATAATTCAAAGGTTAATGAGGTTTAAATTAGAATTAAAAAAACAAATCCATTCTTAAAGGCTTTACCACTTTTATCCCATTTCTTTTGCTTCTCATTTGCAAAGATTTTTCTCAAAAATATCTCTAAAATAAAAATTAAGTCCTCACTTGTTCTAATCTAGTTAGTGCAGCAACATTTTAGTGAAAAGATAATCTGTTATAGCCTTTTAATTAATTACAATGCACTCCTTTTGTTAGGTTGAACCATGTATATTTACCATTTTTTGCATATCAAAAACAAAACTTTGAACTAATGCTTGAACTTCCTCTTGAATTGCATCTTCAGAATGCTTCCTTCTTCTCTTCTTTCTTATAATTCTGTAAACTATTTCTTCAGTATGAATATATGTTTAACAAGCTACAAATAATATACATAATGTCACTGTGAGTTGGAACTGACTTGAGGGCACTTAACAACAACAACAACAATGGGCCTGGTATTAACACTTTTTATTTTTTAATATTTTATTGTGAATTATAACACAGAAGAATGCATAAAAATGGCTGTAGCTTAATAATGTTTGTTGGAAAAAAACATAATGTAACTATCATCTGGATGAAGAAATAGAACACAGCCTGTTCCACTGAAGCCCCTTCTGTGGCTTTCCCTGACTACCACCTCCACTCTGCCCCCTACAACTAGCAACTATTTTGACTTTGTGATAATCACTTACTGATTTTTTATTGTTTTCTAATTTTATCTACATCCTTGAAACATGTATTTTGTGTTCTCTACTTTTAAATTGCATATAAATTTAAGTGTACTGAATATATTTTTTCCAGCTTTGTTGTTTTCCTTAACTTTCTGTTTGAGAGATGCATTTATGTTTTTCCCTGTAGAAGTAGTTCTTTTTCCCCGCAATAATCTAGCATTACATCACGTAAATACACCCTAATTTATCATGTCTATTTCACTCTTGGAGTCTTGGTGGCATAGTAGTTAAGAGCACGGCTGCTAACCAAAAAGTCAGCAATTTGAATCTACCAGCCACTCCTTGGAAACCCTATGAAGCAGTTCTACTCTGTCCTATACGGTCGCTATGAGTTGGAATCAACTTGACAGCAATGAGTTTGGCTTTTTTTTTGGTTACTCCACTACTGATAGATATTTGTGCTTCTTATTTGGATTATTGTGAACAATGTTGCTATGACTATTCCTGAATGTAAACACTATTTACAAGGATAACCGTATCCTTCAAGATGACTTTATTTTCCTCTGTCTTTCTAGTATCTCTATTCTGGGATTTTATCCACCACCCTTCTCTATTGCATTGATATTTTGGGGAGATCTTTCTTGATGTCTCTTCTCTGCTTACTAAAAAAAAGAAACTAGAAGTTTCCTTTTCCAAGCCAGGTGTCTCTAGGTTTTAAACTTGTATTTTCATTTTCAGTGTTAAAATGTTGATTTTTATACTAAATTATTCTAGTTTTCTTATTTTTTATAAATTATGTTGTTCCTGCTTGATAAGAGTATATGTATATATATATAAAATATGTAATTTTTTTCTGTTGGCATTTGAATTTTTCAATTTAAAGAAACAATGTATACCATTTCTCCTTTTTTTCCTATTTATTAAATAATTCATTTTTGTTGTTGTTGCTTAAGCTGTAATATATTTTCACTTTTCTAAGACTGGTTTGAGTGGAGGTAAGGAACTTTTCCTGGAAATATGAGCTCATATTCACTTGGTGAGAGATACTACCTTGGAAGAAGTTCATTTGCAGTGAAAGGAAAGGTATGAAATAGAGATAAATAAGAAGAGGACAAACAGATACGAAATAATTAAGAATCTAAGTCTATGAGCGTAACAAGATCTATTGCTTTTTTTCCCTGAAGGCTCAATTTCAACATTCCTTCATTTATTTGAGATGAATGAAATTCTTTTGATTAAGTCTATGAAAGCTTGTTTCACTTGCTTGTTCCTCAGGGTATAAATAAATGGGTTTAACATGAGGGCAAATGAAGTAGTAAGCAGTGCCACACACTTATTAATAGCCACTCCATCCTTTGCTGAAAGTTTGACATAGATGAAGATACAACCACCATAGGTCATAGAAACCACAATCATGTGGGACAAACAGGTGGAAAAGGCTTTCATCCTTTGCTGGGCAGAAGGGAACTTTATGATAATAGTCTCGATAATGTATATATAGGACAAAACTACACACAGAAGGGTCATGATGGTGGTCAAAATGGCAATGGCTACAACCTTCTGTTCTATAAACAATGTGTCTGAACAAGAAATCTTCAGGAGAGAAGGAACATCACAGAGAAAATGATCAATGACATTATAGTTACAGAATTCCAAGGGTAAGCATGGACAAAGTGGTGTGATTATGACCAAAAAACCTGTTATCCAACAGCAGAAAACCAGCTTTCCACAGACCCTTCTAGTCATGATGGTCACATAATGCAGGGGTTTGCAGATGTCTACATAGCAATCATAGGACATGACAGCCAGAAGAAAAAATTCTGTAGCTCCAAGGAAGATGATAAAAAATATTTGAGCAAAACAAGCTTCGTAGGTAACAGTATTGTCCCCAGTTGATAAGCTATATAGGAATCTGGGAATACAGACAGTGGTGAATGAAATTTCTAAAAAGGAAAAGTTTTGGAGGAAAAAGTACATGGTAGTTTTAAGGTGGGAATCCACTAAACTGAGTATAATGATGGTCAGGTTCCCAGTTACACTCAATGTGTAGGTGACAAACAGAAATATAAAAATCAGAACCTTCATTTGAGGATCATCTGTCAGTCCCAGAAGTATGAATGTAGTTACTGATGTATGGTTTCTCATCATTGACGTGCGCTTCTGCTGAATCTCCTCATTAACATGAAATGAGAAAAGTTGTGTGAAATCCCATGGCCATGGACATTGGCTAGAAAATCTAATCATTGCAGTTAATAGTTATTTTCTTCTTTGACTTCATAATAAATCTTGTCAAAAGTCTGGTAGGCTCAGCTCTATTGATGCACATTATAGGTCTGGTTAACTGTAAGTTTTTCTTAAATATTATTTTAACTCTATAATAGTCTTTATTTTTATAGCTTCTTGCACTCTTTCATATCTATTTTCAGTTAATGTAATATCTATCATTGATCGTCAGAAATACATTTTGCGTTTTGCTTCAAGATTAGAAAAGACCACTGGTGTGATAAAAGCTGATAGGTATTATGATATCATTTTGGTCCAGTTAATTCTTCACTACTTACTAGTTGAATCCAATGATTTTACTTGAAGTGTTAGTTTCTGTTAAATGCATATAAATAGCTGAGGAGTTTGACAGTTTATGCAGTCTGTGGGTCATGTGTATAGTACTTGAATGTTTTCTGCCACTACTGTGAACAAAGAAGTCATTTCATTTTACTTTTGGTATCAGATGAGAGTTACCTGAATTACAAACACCACTTCCTAATTCTGCTCTTTATCTCTAAGTTTCTACACTAATTCTCAACTTTTACTCCAAATTCACTCAGATATAGAACTCAGGGTTTTGAAATATAGTATATATATATACGAATATAGTATACTATAGTATTATGTAAAGAAATTGTTGGGGATAAACTAAAGAATGTTGAAGAATATCACCATGTTTTTTTATGCTTTCATTATTGTCATTACATAGATATTGTCATTGTTGAGTGCCGCTGAGTTCATTTCCACTCATAGCAACTCATGTGACAGAGTAGAACTGCCTCATAGGGTTTTATAAGGCTGTAATCTTTATGGGAGTAGATTGCCAGGTCTTTCTACTGCAGAACCACTGGATGTGTTCAAACCATGAACTACCAACCTTTTGGTTAGTAGCCAACCTCTTAACTGTTGCACCACCAGCACTACTATATATATATATATAAAAGCAGTCCTCAACTTACAATGGGGTTCTGTTCCAAAGATTACTCTGTCATATTTTGGTTCTGATGTAAGTTGAATACTTCCTTTTCCTTAAATTTTCATTATTATTGCCCTATTGTTATCAGTATCTTTATAGGGCCGATGTTTACTGGTCTTTAGGGGTTGGAAACATTACATCTGAGAATGATAACATCAGCAAATTATGCACTACAATATTGTATGTAGTACATATTACTGATGATAACGTACAAAAAAAAAGGACGGTTGTAAGTGCAGTTTATTGTAACCGAAATATATCATAAATGGAGGATTATCTGTGTATATGTAATCATTTTATAAAGTTCACTCTGATTACAATCAGATTAAAAACAATAAGTACATGCAACAAGTCACTGCTAATTTTTACTTATTTCCTTTGCTACATGTCATCTACATTGATAGTTCTCTTGCTTCTTGCTTCTTACTAATCATTCAGTCCTCAATCCATGATAGTCTAATCTTGCCACAATGTTCTATTGAAACATCTCTTGCCAAGCACATCCTTCTCCAAAAATACAGTGTTTTATTTTTACTTGATCTTTCTTAAGCATTTGACTCGACTCTTAATCACTTCTAACTTTTACAACCATTTAAAATCTATTCAGCAATTACTTTAAGCACATATATACGTACATAAGCACCTCAGAATCAACATGTCCAAAACCTTTCACAGCTCCATTGCTACTCATCCTCCAGTATTTCTTATTGTTGTTGTTGTTGTCAGTTGTCACCCAGTTGATTCTGATTCATGGCGACCCCACATGTGCAGAGTAGAACTGCTCCATAGGGTTTTCAAGGCTGTGACCTTTCAGAAGCAGATAACCAGGCCTGTCTTCTGAGGCCTCTGGATCGGTTAAAACTGCCAATTTTTCCACTAGTAGTCTAGCACTTATCCTTTTGTGCCACCCAGGGCCCAAAAAAGCAAACAAGGAAAAAAAATATAAACATATACAGATACATATATACACGTATATAGGCACTGAAATAAATAGGCATGTATATATTTATGAGTTTATGCACATACATATATACATATATATCATATCCTAGTTCTGCCCACTGAGAGGTCCTAGTAACAGTCACACTCCAGTATTAAAAAGCAACCATAACTCTTAATCTTGGTTTCCAGTACCATTCACCAATAAAAGAAATCAAGGATTCTTGGAGAAATGGCTGATTCTAAAACTTAGGGAAAATTCAAGATGATCCTAGAGTATATTGTAGTTCCCTAAAGCGAAAATCAAAAAACAAACAAGGAAACAAAAAACCACAACAAAAAACCAAACCCATTGTCATCGAGTCAATTCCAACTCATAGCAACCCCATGTGTTCCAGAGTGTAACTGCTCCGTAAGGATTTCTTGTCTGTAATCTTTACAGAAGCAGATCACCAGGCCTTCCTTATGCAGTGTCACTGGGTGGTTTTGAAGGCCAACCTTCTGGGTTAGTGGCCCAGCACAAATTGTTTGCACCATCCAAGGACGTTGGCATAAAGTAAGAAAGAGCTCAAAAGAAAAAAAAAAAAAATTGAGAGCATACCTAAAGGATACAACAGCCAACCTGAAAGAGCTCTCAAAGGTCAAATCTAGAATAATTTGAGCAACATACTAAATACAAGACAGTCTGATTATAACCTATAGATTAGCTAACTTTCTCTGAAAAGGGCAAATACTTTAGGCTTTGTGGATCACATAAGGTCTCAGTTACTTCATCCTCTTCTTGTTCTTCTTCTTCTTGACAATATTTGAAAAATGTAAAAAACATTTTTAGTTTACAGCATAACAAAACAGGCCATAGGACACATTTGGCTCATTGGCTGTAGTTTGTCAAACGCTTTTATTATTCAAAGAATAAAATAAATATCCATGTTACCATACTAATATACAAGAATAAATTCAAAGTGGGAGACAAGGGCAATACTTCCCAAGAGAAGAATTCAGATTGATAAATGTAGAAGGAGTGAGGGAAATAGAATATCACTAAGAAAGCTGTAGGCAGGATCCACTGATGAACGTAAAATTAAAGAGGCATTTGCATAGTTTCCCAGTATCTTTCCCAAAAGATTTATTAATTACAGTGGTGGTTTTAACGTACGTCCACAAATTTTTTGATGCCCCTTCCTCCAGAAGGTGGAGCTTAATTCTCCTCCCCTGAGTGTGGAATGGACTTTGTGACTCACTTCTAATCAATGCAGTATCAAAAGCGAAAAACAGCAACTTTACAGTGGTGAAGCTTGGAAGGCACCAATTTGACCAACTTATCAAGACTAAAGAAAAGCCTTTTGGGGCAGTGGTTAAGCACTCGGCTGCTAACCAAAAGATCAGTGATTTGAACTCTCCAGCCTCTCCATGGGAGAAAGACATGGCAGTCTTCTTTGGTAAAGATTTACAGCCTTGGAAACCTTATGGGCCAGTTCTACTCTGTCCTATAGGGTCGCTATGAGTCCAAATCGACTCAATGGCAACAGGTTGTTTTTTGTTGTTGTTTGTTTTGTTTTATCAAGGTTAACATCATCAGGATTAAGACATATTAATATCATGTGTCCCTTATATGTTGTGACGAGAAGGGCACATCATCTTTGTGGTATTCTTTCAAAAATCTATTGCCTAACTCCAATCATGAGAAAACTTCAGACAATCCCAAAATGCTTTACAGGTAATCTATAGAAGTGTCAAAATGATGAAGGACAAGGAAAAACTGAGAATGGGATGCATTGGAGGAGACTAAGAGACATGAAAAATAAATGTAATGTAGTGATCTGAATTGGATCCCAAAACAGAAAAAGGACATCAGTGCAAAAACTAGGGGAACACTCACTAATAAATCTAAAATCTAAAATCTATAGTTAGTAGTATTATCATTGTTATTTGCCCTCGAGTTGATTCTGATTCATGGCAACCCCACGTGTACCGAGTGGAACTGCTCCATAGGGTTTTCTATGCTGTGAACTTTTGGAAGCAGATCACCAGGTCTGTCATCCAAAGTGTCACTGGGTGGGTTTGAACCACCAACCTTTTGGTTAGTAGTCCAGGGCTTAACCATTTTTGCCACCTAGGAACTCCTAGTAGTATTGTACCAAGGTTAATTCTATAGTTTTAATAATTGTATTGTGATTATGTAAGACATTTAACATTAATTAGGAGGCAGCTAGATGAAGGGAATATTTGAAATGTCTGTACTATCTTTTCAGCTCTTCTGTAGGTATAAAATTATTTCAAAATAAAAAATTCATACTTGAAAAAAAGGACAGCAAGTTCTTTATATGAATTATTTGTCTGAAATGAATGCTCCCATAATCATGTGTGATTCATCCATCCTATTTTTGTGGTGATGTCATTTTTCATTCTAAGTAGATAAGACATTATTTGAAATTAATTGTCAGATTTATAGATGCATTTTAATTGGCAATACTTGAATTGCATGCAATCTATATCTAGGAGCCCTGGTGGCATGGTGGTTAAGAGTTATGGCTGCTAATCAAAAGGTCAGCAGTTCAAGTGCACCAGCTGCTCCTTGGAAACCCTGTGGGGCAGTTCTTCTCTGTCCTATAGGGTCACTATGAGTCAGAATCGACTTCACAGCAACAGATTTGGTTTTTTGGTTTGGTATCTCTAACTGTTAAAATTATAACACCTACTAACAATTTCAGAGATGGTTGTACTTTTTGACTACTGAGAATATAACACTTCTGTGCTGATGATGTCAATATTTAGAATGAAATGCTTACATATGAAACAATTCTTTAGAAAACTTCCATCAAAGGAGACCATTCACTTTCCACAAACCAAAATAACACTTCTGCAAATGTGAGTGGAGTTTGCTTATTGATATGACTCTGTCCAATTATGAATTTCCTACTCCTGTCGTTACTTTCACTAGGCTAATATTCTTTTTCTTTTTTCAAAA